TAGGAAGCATCATGGTTTCCCATGTACTTCCAAATGTTTCCATATTTACACACATTAAATGCACACCCCCCCTGCAAGTCAGCCCTCCAAACTGGGATACATGTCTTAAGTGGAAAAACTAATTTTGCTTTGCTGACATTGAAGCATGAAGATGCGACACACTAATGGCTTCCACATTTCTGCCCCAGCAAGTAAAAGGGGCAGAGTCCAGTGTTAAGTCTCTCAGCCACTAAGGAACATGTAGCTATTGGCTAAGCACTGTAGCTTGTGCCTGAAGCAGCAATTGCATTTGCTCAGGGGGTAAGAGAGCTGCTGCATGCAGTCTATAGCATCTTGATGAGGCTCGTGGTGTGGAAACACCATTACTGGCAGGAACTTACATAAAAAACTATGTACAGTCTAGCTACTGCCTTTGCAAGGATCTAGCATCTAGCTCTGCTGTTATCCTGCCACATCAGGAAGTCTGAGTGAGGCATCAGGATATCCTGGGATACCCTACTTCCTGGACACAGTTTCCAGGAGGACTTTCTCTATGCCACAGTTGGCCTTGACTCCGGAAATCTCACCCCTCCCCTTTTCTCCCTCCCCACCCCCCAAACATCTTTAAGTTCTGACTTCCAAAAAACAAGGTTTTACAGCTTGCCTTATTTGGGGACATGTGATATGTGAGAAAATACAGCCATCTGGATGAGGAGGCAAAGTCCCTGTGCTGCTAGGTGGTGATGGCGGCGATATTAACAATGTCTTTTCAAACTGCTGCTCCGATTGCTCTCAGATTATCCTTCTCCTCTGTCATAGTTAATATTGAACTGCTGCCTGTACTCACATGAAGAAACATGAACAGTTATTCAATCACTTCCCCACTTACTAGTCTCAATGCCAGTGGGTATGGAATTCATTTTCCATCTCATAGTATGACCAGCTCATTGCTGCATTGTCAGAATATTATAGATTTGCTCTTCAGGAAAGGATGGATAACTGTGCTGGACCTTAGTATAATATTTAAGCCAGCAATAATTATTTTTAAAAGGAGGTTAATGTGTTGAGGATTGAAAAACACCTATTTTTTAAAAAGGACAAAAAGGGGGCACAGAGAACAGTGGAAACAAAAGATCCCACCATCCCAAACTATTTCAGAACACTTTAAAAAACAGGTACACACACACACACTGCTATTATATAATCTAGCAATACAATTTTTCTTCAGCCAAATAATTCAGATGTAGCAAGAGGCCCTGCAGTTTTAAGACTAAGCGATGTGTATTTATTTCACTAATAAAGGAATCATTAGTTTTTTGTAATTAAAAATACACTATTTCAGATAACAGTTGAGGAAGCAGTTCTGAACAAAGTCACCCTGCTCACAGACAGGTAAAATAAGGAGTCAAATACATGCATGTATATTTAAAATGTCACATGCATTCCTTAAATCAGGGGCACAAAAATACTTTCAATATATCCAAATTCTAACCCCACCATTAAGACTTCCACTAGTGTCAGAAAGGCAAGATGCAGCTGCATGGATGAAATGTGCAGAATGTATTAATCATTTCTGGATGAGTTTCAACTTATACACACATGTTGCTGTTTTTTCTAGCATCGTTAAATTATGACAACTTTCAATCTCAGAAACTCTAACACAAATCATAGCCTTACATCTGATTACAAGAAAATTAAGTTAATAATACAGCATCTGTATCTCAGCTATCCCTACCAGGTCCAGCCCATGGTCCACATACTATGCCCCAGGGCTCACTGTGCATGTAGCATGCAGGGCTGGCGTGGGCTTGAACCAGCACTGTAGGCACTTCAGGAGTTAGTCCTCAGTGCTGCATGCAGCCCACACCCTCTGTACCACATGCAATGCCTGGTCCAGCTCGCATGTCACAAACAGTATGCATCCTGTATCTCGCACACCCTATGCCACATGCACAGCAAGTCCCGGGGCCAGCACTTCCTGCATGCAGCACACGGGGCTGGACTGACCACATGCACTGCATGCAGTACACAGGGCCAATGAGGTATGCACTGCATGAAGAGCCCTGCCAAACTGCCCCTATGTACTGGTTCCACCATGACCTGATTTGGACAGGCCCTGGAACCTGTGCACAGAGCCAGCAGGGCGTCACATGCAGCATGCATCCCAGTCCATCTCCATGTGCTGAGTGCAGGGGGCACCTGGATGCAGCATGTGGGGCCAAAGCCAGCACATGGGGTTGGTAGTGGGCTGCACATCCAACACCCTTGGTCTGAAAGACATCTCAGGTTTCACTAAGCTCATCAAGGAGCAAAATGGACCACATGATAGAGTACAGTACTCAGATTGGTTCTGGCTAGTTGCCATAGAAACCAAAAACCAAAAGGAAACTGAAAACTCTATTCTGCTGTTCTGTGTAATCTGGTTCCAAAAGGGCCTCAAGATCCAAGGAAGAGAAGGGAGCCAGCTCCTGATCAAACAAGAAAGTAAAACCAAAAGACAAAAGGCTTATTTAGAAAGAGTCCTCAAAGAAATGCCTCTTGTTCACCAAGTCTCTGTAGGCACATTCAGATGTGCAGGTTTGCAGCATACAGGCAACCCCACCAACGTCTAAAAGGAAGACACACAAAATATGGTTTTAAAGATGAAGAACAAGCATGAATGTCCTAACAAAATAAGGAATTCAGAGGGAGTGAGGATAAAGACGAGACGAGACAGAACTTTGTTTTATTTGCTGCAATGTTTTAAACTAAGAAGATGCTGGTTTCCAATAAATTTTCCTGAAGGTCTGCACTGCAGAAGAACAGGCAAGATGCATAAGATGCTATTTGTAAGAAACATGTTAAGTGTCCACTATAAAGCAGCATTCCTGTTACAGGACACCTTGACGAGTGGGTCATCTGATAATAATAGGTAACCCACATATTTTGGGGCAAAGGAAAGGTAGGATTAGGATACCCATGACCCCCATATTTGGGTTGACTTTTTAAAAAACAGTCTTAAAAGTTGCTGTCCCTTCTCTGGGAGCTGGAAAGATAGTGTGGGATCAGATGAAGAAAGGAACTGCACAGAAAAGGGAGGAGGAGAGTATTCTCAGACCATATATTTTGCAGAGCATGCTTTTGCATAAAGACCAACTGCCAACCACTGACAAGAAGCAAAGCTGATATTCACAACTAACAAAAAGTAAAAAGGAAGATAGCACATGAGTACTGTCTCTCTCTCAAGGTGGAAATTCAAGAGCAAACATACACAAGCATCTCCCAACTGCCCCAGATTTCATTTTCCAATGCTCTGAAAATGAAGGGTTTCACAAAACGAATATATTATTATTTACACCTTTACTAAACAAACAAAAACACCACAAAAAACTAGTCTACAGTCAGACCACTTTCAGGTATTAACTGTAACCAAATTCAATGGTACCCATCAACCAAATAAAGGAAGTGCTATCTAGCTTAAAACACACTTTGTTTTTTCTTCTCACCTCTTATGACTTGTTAGGCCAACAAAAACTAAAAATTAGTGTCTCAGCTGAATACCCATCCAAAAGGAAGATATTCTACAGTTCCGACAACTTCCTCTGAATTAATACCAGGCTTCTAAGCAGAATAACAAAAGGAAACTCACAACAACCCACTGGCTAGGTCAAATACTTTTTTATCTATCTATATAGATATCTATATATTTTTTTTATTTTTATTTATTTATTTATTTATTTTTACACAAATGAAGGCAACCTTGAGCATCAGAAGGCGTTCACATTTGAGAATAGCTGGGATTCTACTCCACTTTTCCATTTGCTTTAACTAGGAACAGTTAAAGCCTTTTATCACATCTTCCCGCAACAGAACGGGTTTCTCTGTAAAGGAAAGTCCGCACTTCTGGAGGACTGCATTGACTGATAACAAAGGATGGCAGGAAGCTTAAAAACAAGAATTCATTTAACTAAAAAAACCTCAGCGTTTTAGAACCATTTTAGAGCTGTAGCCCCTGGGGTGGGGGCTGAGACCCTGCAGGACAATCCATGTGCTTTGTTGGGGGGACACTGCCCTGTGGGGGGCAGGGGACCCACCCCTCCTAAGCAGCCCCTCCACACTTACCTGCATCCCCCCACCCCCTCCTGCAAACCCCACATCATACCCCCACCCCAATCACACACCTACCATGTGATAAGGAAACCAAAAGCAAACATTAAAACATACAGCTATTTAGGATTTATTTTGATGGAAGCCTACCAGTGTCTCTACCAAGATGCGTTAGTATTGTAAATATAACAATAAAACACTGCCCATCTGATCAATCCCACTCTCTCTTTTGTTCTAATTGTGGAAGAACGTGGATTTTGGGGTATTTTAAAAAGTGAGTTTGGGATGCTGCTTCAGCAATCCACTTGGCACAAAGGGTAGTGTCCCCAAATACAAATTGCCCGGGCCCCAGAAGCTCCCGAGGGCAAGTAGCCCTGAGCTGCTGGCGAGGGCAGGTTTTTATACTTCTGGGGCCAGCACAGGTGCTGGCCCTGGGCTCTAGCTCCCCCTGGCTGCAGATCCGGGAGGAGCCAGGCAGGTTATTTTGCCCCAAGTGGCACAATTTGCCCCACACCAAAGTGCATGTCCAGGCACATGTACCAAGGCAAAAAGCCCCAGCTCAAAATTTGCACTGCTTCTATTTGAGCTGCTGCAAACACATGTGCCTGCATGTGTGAATGCATCCACTGGGCTCCAAAGAGAGGTCCACAGACACTTACCTTTCGTACGGAAACACTTCCTCACTCACCCAAGTGCACTAATAGATGCCACAAGCTTGTTAACTTAATCTCAACAACTGCCTGCTCAAACCAAGATGAAGCATTCTATGAAGCAACTCTTTCTGTCTCTCAAGATGATTGTTTCTTATGTGAAATATTCCCTCTTCTAAAAGAGAGCTGTAAAGTCCATTCAAGTTTCAGTCAGGAATTAGTGTTCATTATTGCAAGAAAGCTTTCCAAAATAAATGTTTTTAGCAATATCAACTACAAAAATACCTTACTTTGAAGTGGCTTTGGATACAGTTAACAATTGCAGCTAGCATCATACAATAAAGTGTCGTTGTTAATTTATAAGACTTGCTATTATTGAAGGGTTGCAAATTTTTCAGTCTACACCTTTCCGGTCTGTGGAAGGAAGTGAGAATTAGGATTCTAGTTTCAAACATGCTTCCATTCCTTACACACAGTAATCCAACATTGACAGGCTATACACCCTAGGCCTTTCGCTGCTACTAAATTGTCTAAATTAATTAAGGATTACCAAAAAAATTCAACGGAACCATTTATCCAAAATCTGACAAAGTATGCCTTTTCCATATGGATGGGCACAAACAAATCTGAGATAAATGCTTAGTAGGAGAGCCAGACTGAGCAGCCTACTAGATGCTGCAAAGAACTTTTCCAAAAAAATTCAAGTCCTTGAGACCACTGATGTTTTGGGTTACAAGCACAAATATTTAGATGGTGAAAGAATGGAAGAGACAACCAAATAAATTTAACAACACCGTAGATTCCATCTTCACTTGTGTTGCAGTTAAAAACTAGCATAGGCAATTTTGGTGTCACAGCAAAGCGGGCCCTTCCTCAAAGATCTACCAACTAATACGTAATGAACCCCCTCCAAAAACTGTTCTGCAAGACAGGGTTCAGCAACATACAGCCAACAGACCAGATCCGGCACGCACAGCAGGAAGGCTTTGCCTAGGTCCATGCCAGGACCAGATAGCAAGGAACTGCACTAAGACTAAGCAATAGGAAGCTGTGCCTGTGCCACCTCCCCTAGCCCCCTACTCCCTGGCTGGGGCACAGGCACAGCTTCCAGCCAGGAGAAACTGTACCATATCTAAGTGGGGAGACTTCCTTGGTTATACAGCATGTACTTCTTTTTGTTAGTGGAAGATTATGAATACCCGATTCAGATCCCATTGGAGAAGGAACTTTGGCTATGTTTTAGACCAATTCCTATTTCTAACTGCAGTATAGCAACAGTAGCAGGACCTCCTAGATACGGCCTCGTCAACTCCCACATAGACGTTTTATTTCTACTCAGTATGTTCAAGGTGAAGATGGTGCTAGCTACTATTTTGGTTTACTTTATGAAGATCAAGCAAAGAGGAAGGATGCAAAGCCCATTGCCATTTGTTACCTATCCGTTGGTTGAGTTGCATGTTAATTATTAACATCCCAGATTTGCAGACAGAAAAGCTAAAGAACAGTGATCACTGAAAGTAGCCAGAAAATAAAGAAAAAGTTCACCCCAGTCTGTTTTCTTAAAACACATCCTGCTAGTTTTATTAACTTATTAACATACATTTTAATTATTGATTTTTTTTTTGCTACTGCAAACAAATCAATCAAAAAAAGTTAAAACATACACTTCAGTAAAACGTCTTATAATGACATATTTAGACCTTGGGTTAAGGCAGTGGTTCTCAAACCAGGGTGTTGTGGCACCCTGAGATGCCTTAAGATCCTTTCAAGGCTGTGACAGGATGCCATGTAATGATAACACTCCTAGGTGTGTAAACATGATTCAAAAGATAAACCCAGAGATTTCAAATAGGAATCCACAGTATTAAAAACATTCTGACATGTTGCAATCTTTGAGTTCTTTGCAACAGAAATGTTATTTTTCTGTAGTCAAATTAAAGGAAAACTAAAGGGCCAGCATTTTCTGAGGGGTGCCTTTTGCCTAAAAAGGTTGAGAAACACTGCGTTAAGGGAAGGCAAAAAACAGGTGTTAATGGAGCACCCACAAAATAAGTATAAACCAGCAAATTCATCATGATTAGATTGGATTTACAAAAGTTTTGAGTTCAGTTAAAAAAAAAAAATTGTTCATTTTTGTCAGGTTTATTAAATGGAAAAAGAAAAGATTTCAGGTACAAAGTAAGTGTCTATTCCTTTTGCCTGAAAACACTTTTGTCCATGACTATGATTTCCCAAGTGCCTTTTCCTCATAATTGCCAAGACAAATCTATAGCCCAACTTATGATAGGAGAGGATTCTTGAAAGCCCTCTCTCATTGGCTAAGCTATTTATACCACTCAGGGAGATGGATAAAGCACCTATTGTAGAGACAAGTTGCTGTATCACTAGTAAACCCAACAATGTAATAAGAATAGGGGATGTTTTTTAAAGTTACTCATATTCATAAACCAAGTAACATGCCAGAATTGCTTTTACTCTTTCCATAATTTACTATGAATGCACAAATACAGGAGATTTTCCAAATGCCTCTTTATCTGAAGTAAACGATTATAGGAATCAAAGTTGGAGAGAGAGAGAGAGAGAGAGAGAGAGAAAAAAAAAAAAAGCATAGTATAAAACACCACCAGAAAATAAAATAAAAAGCAGTGTCAGAAACCGGAAGAGGCACTATCATTTTAAGTACCTTTAACAGAAGTCACCTACTCGCCATAATCCTAGGTTTTGTGACTTGGGACTACAAACTCCATTTCTGGCTCTAATACCAACTGTATTACCATTAGTAAGTCTCAAACCATTTTTCTGTCTGTTTATGCCTCTGTGAACTGATAATAGTTCAAAACCAGTTGCAAGGTTTTTTATTCATCGTTTGCAAGATGTTGGTTGTTAGAAAATTAGGATTGGAAGGGACCTCAGGTCATCTAGACCAACCCCTGCTCAAAGCAGGACCAAGTAAAAAGCTGCAACCATTCAACAAGTGCTCCTTGTCCCTAAAACAAAAAACACATCTCCTCTGATGATGGAATTGTTTTACAGGTTTCAAACAACCCAAACACTCTTGCAGTGAGCCACTTTTTAAACAAATTCCCCTTTCCAGCTGGCAAGCAGGATTACAGGAAGATTTTTCCCTCATCAAGGATAAATGCAGAGTTTTATCAAGCAGATACAGCTGAGTTGGCAGGTTTGACAGTGTTGAGCAACTCTTCTTCCTTCAGCTTTTATTAATGGAGCAGGAATGG